AATAATTTTCAAATTAATTATTAATTGAAAATCTATTTCAAGCAATCATCATTTTCAAAAAGTTTTACACTTGTTTGTTTTCTCTTTTTGCAGTTTATAGATGAATTTGTTTACCAGTTATGTCTACTTTTTCAATCAGAATATAATGATAAACTTGCTTTTATTTTGTTAATATTACTTATTACGAACTAAATAGCTGCAGCTTAAAACGAGTAATTTGGTTTAAAACTTATTTGAACTTTATCCGTATTGTTGTAAACTTCTTTCCAATCGCTGATCAGGATTAACACGTTGACGCTGACTGTTGTACGAAAACTCTCGTTTAAGCCAGGAGGGCTGCTTACCATGCTTCAATTGCTTCCAACGGTAGGAATTTAGAATGTCAAGAACGAAACATTTTGGACATGTGTTCAGTTTAAAATCTTTCCTCAAGAACAAAGTGTCTAAGAAAATGTGTGAGATTCGAAAATTATTTTTCCTTTTTCAAATATGTTTTCGTAGTGAAAAATGGTTGAAATATTTCTATATTCAAATTGTTGCCCCAGATTTTTGTAATGTCTAAAAAAAATGAAAGAATAATTAAGTGAATCATGTAGCTGTGAAGAAGAAACTTGTTGCGAGGCTAATGAAAATTCGAATAGTAGCAATGAGGACAGTGGAGATTTTTCAGAAAGATAATTATAAACTGAATTACATCTTCAGATTCAATTTCGAATGCTGATAAATGCAGCGATAATAAATGTGTTGTAGATACTACTGATCATATTTTACAAGAATTGGTTGTTTAGGAAGAAAGGAAAGTTGATACCGAAGAAAGCACAATTCAGTATAGGGAACGGAATGAATTTAAATCTTGGCAACAATCATTTTCGTTTCTTTCTTTCAACGATCAATAATCATTTTCTCAAATCCTATATTTACCTCGTAAGTACAGTCTGTCTATCATAAGAAAAGCTCTCGCCAGTTAGTCTGCAGCTGTCTGTTGCCGTAGAAATGAGCCATGACCCATTTTATGTAGGGGTGTTTTCAAGACGAATGATAAACTATTTTCCCCTCAGCCAACAGTCGCCAAAAACAAAATAACAATAAAGCTTCGCCCCTCTCTGAAATATACTAGCCCTGTTGCTAAAGCGACCGCCACCCGCCAGACACTGTGGCGGGAGCTATTCTTCTCGTAGACAGACAGTACTCAAAGAACTTTCACCCGACAACGGCTGACGCAGCCTGATCATAATTTTGTCTTTCCCTGACTACGGGTGACGCGGCAGTCAGAGAGTTAAAACAGACTCCAAGCTTGAATATAAACACAACTGACTAAGCACCATCTTAGGTCACTTCACCTTCCTCCTGGCAACATGTTACTTAGCGTCTACTAGTTATTCTTACTTATGTAAGATGTAATTGCGCGTCTAAAATTGTGAGGCACGTTTAGTACCCCTAGTATTATATAATTTTAAGAAAATATGTACCGAGAAATTCCTCATTAATAATATTATGAACTGGGCATGTGGTAATACTGAAACCTCCAACAATTTGTTGCGGCATGAATCCTCTAAGATTCTGTGAGTAAAGTCTACCTTTGGAAAAATACGAATTGATTAAAACGTTTAACGACAGCCTGCATAATAATGCTCACCATTTCATTTCTTAACATCAGACACATTTTCTTAAAAATATTTTATTTTTAGTTACGTAAGAAAGCAAACACTTCGCTCTTCAATTTATTCTGAACCTCTGAACAGGATCTGAAATTGTAAAGTTAAATATCTCTGTCAGCTTTTTCCAAACGGGAGTCGTAGTTTTTTTTGTTTGATTATTTGGAATAGATATAAATTTTAACTAAAGGACTGAAAGACATATAAAATATTAGTCTTTGTGACATTTACAAAATTGATTTTTTAAGTCAAAAAATGCAACCATGTGAATGTTTTTCTTATCTAAAGCATCTTTGTGATTGGAAGTATAGATCTACGAGCAATAGGTGCAAAACTAAGGGCTACGTGAGGACCTTTGTGGGCAGGCTATATGAATTAATAATTACGATTTTCAAAGAGAGAAATGTGAAAAATTAAGTATTCTCTCGCCGAAACTCGATCGAGTGATATTATTATTACTAGCTGGACGTGCTAATCACTACACTCCAAGAACATGCGCGGCGGAGGGAGATAGTTCCTTATATTCTCATCCAAAGCGCGATTGGGTCTCGTACCCGCCCCCAATCGACAAATCCAGGAGACGATCATTATCGTTAATCACATTTTAGTGTGGACTGCACTGTAGTGATCATTAAGGTGCGGAGAACAAGAAAACAACTTTGCCTTCTCAAATATCCGAACCATAGATCTGACATGCTAAACACTTACACCCCCAATAGCAAGCAGGGAGGTATTTCTGATTAAAATGCATTTTGATCAGATTTGTTTCCTAAGGAAGCTCAGCTCAAACAGCAAATTGCTGCCTGAATAAGTTGGGAATTTTTTTCTGAGTGACCGAATAATTTCTTCAGTGCCAGATATTTCCTTTATGAAGGCTGTACTCATTGAACGATAGATATCTTCTGTCATTGTTACCTCTCTTCAAATTTATATCAAAAATTCATTTTGCACTATGTTTAAATCAAAATATTTGCAACTGGTAATTTAACTCTTTTATAGCACAATATCATAATATTCTTAATGCTGCATGTTACAGAAAGATTTGTCCGGTCACACGGTTTTAATATTTTCTTCCCCTTTGCTGTAAATGGTATTTGAATGCATCATAGAACATATCAATTACACTCTTTTCCTTTAAAAAAGGAGAACGTTTTGACATTTCCTTCCGGAAAATTGTTCTTTGGTTTACTTTAGTATCCACTTTTTTAAAAAAAAAAAAAAAAAAAAGTTCACTTTCAAATTGTCTTTCCATCATTGGAAGGAGAATTGAATTTTCTCTTCAAATCTGAGCAGATTCAAGATCAATCTTAGTTGATTCTTCATGATGGACATTAAATTGAGTTTCTATCTCAGGATTTAAGATCTTTGTTACTGTCTTTGCTACCATCTGTTATATCTGAAAAAGGTGTCAAATTTTTAAAAAAATGGGCTTATTTTTTTAATATTATTTTTTTCCTTGACAAAATACATCACAAGCAAAAACATTTAAACAACATAAGTGTTAATAAAAAAGGAGCACATTCATTCATTTTTTACTAGTACGAGAAACGAATTCTTTTCCTTATGTAAATGAAACGTTTCTCGCATGTTTCTTATTTCTGCATTTATGTACAGTTGGTTGTTTTGAATAAACTTCCCTTGTCCTCACCTTAAATGTAATAAATTTCTACTATTGATTGTGTCAAAGATTATATTTTTTTTCCGATAGATTTCTACCATTTATTATTGACAGTGATTTGACGTATCACTGAGGTATTTAACACGCTTCATTCTACTAAAAAGATTTTTTTTAATTCAATTTTAAATGTTATTCATTTGACAAATTATGAAAGACTGTAGAATAATAAAACCACCTTGTTATATCAAACTCAGCAAGAATAGTTATCATATAATCTGCATAAAAAGTATTTAATCCCTAACATCTGTTAATTATTCCAAATCATATATTCATGCTCGGAAATCAGGATCATATCAAAATGTACTCGATAGTACCTGAAACAAAATATGGATGCAAATCTATTAGTGTGTTATACAGTCGTTGGGTTTTTTGTTAGCCCAGAAGGGCTATTAATTTCGTTTTGGCATTTTTACTTGAAAACTTTAAATGCCTGCTTCACTTTTCATATTGTTGCCACCCAATATTATCGTCCCGTATTATATTTAAAGAAATTAAATAAAGAATAATCTGCATAAATGTATGTATGTTTCTCGCTTTGTGATAACACAACTGTACCTAGAGCCATCAAGTTTTGAATAACGTAATCTTCCACGAATATGGGCATCTGGAAGCCCTAATTTGGAATTTGGAAGTTGTTTTATTATCGATTTCGTATTTTGTAAAACCTTAACGAATTTTTGATTAACAAACTCAAGGATTTCAAAGGGAGCAATGGAAACTTTGTACAGAACAAAAATGTTTACGTGAAAAATGTGCAGCCGTCGTGACTCGAACCATGGACATCTCGAATATGCATCGAGTATGTTTCATCATCATTCATTGCCAATTACATCCCAAAGGCATTCGGAAGGAGTGAAAAAATACCTTTTAGTGTTTATTGTGATTCGCAATCATAACAACGAATTAGTTAATGACAGTTCTCAAACCTCGTGATTTTAAGCCAGAAAATGTTAAATATCTTTTTATCCTCAGTCGCTTAGCCTGTTATTTCACGCAAAGGAGTATTAAACATAATATTTGTAACACCCCCTAAAGTAATCGCATCTTTTTATATTTGCGTCATTTTCCAAACTAAGGAGTTTTACTCTTCTTTGTTTATTTCGTCGTTTGCTTATTTATTTGTTTCCTACTGTTTCAGCTTACTTACTTATCTTACATTTTCATGTTATAAGTTTTTTCTACTCTGTTCTCTGGCAACATAAGGAGAAATTTTGTAATGAAATAATTTTTAACAAAATATTTTACTTTCATTTAAAATCTTTTACTTTCCTTTAGTATTATAAAGAGCAAGCAGTTAATAAAAGGAATTTACAGAATTTATTTTCTGCTTAATTAGTTTGATACAATTTCAAGCATGACATTTTTATTTTAAACACAAATTTTTGTTCCCTAGGCTTTGCTTTTCAGAGATTAGTTTAAAAAAAAACTTTGTTAATTTTTCTTAATTTAATGGATGAAGTTTGCTCATTTGAACAGCACTTTTAGAAGAGAAATACCACTTTACTTTAAATGAGATGAAAACATAATAAAAATATTATTTCTCACGCCATTCAAATCTGGAAGTTTCTTTCTTTCTTTATTCTAAGAGAATTTGATTTCTTTTAAATAACAGTTTATGTTTTTATTCAGTATCAAATAAAGTAATCGATAATGATGCCTTACTATAGCTTACTATAGAAAATGCTATAGAAATAACTATAGAAAATGCTATAGAAATAACTATAGAAAATGCTATAGAAATAACTATAGAAAATGCTAAAGAAATAGCTATAGAAAATGCTATAGAAATAACTATAGAAAATGCTATAGAAATAACAAGAGAAAATGCTTATAACTGAATTCCTTATTAGAATGTTTAACTATTTCATCGTAATGAATTTTCCTGGACTCTGTAGCAAATATTTAAGGGTACAGATATTATATGTTACAGGCTTTGAGTCGACGTCAACATTTACAAGGGAGATAATAATAATAAGGGTTGTCTAACACGCTCCGTCTTAATCGACACTACACGCACCAGTCACAAATGTGTGCCCCCATATTAGACAAGGGGTGGGTCGCCAGAAGTGAAAAATATTACATTGGTGAAAAAAGAGGCGAACAATGTTGGAAATATTGGAACCCCTAGGCCCCCAATCTGAGGCGGCAGACTTTAAAAGTTTCTCTATAACACTTCTACCTCTTGAGCGCACGGGTATACGACTCCTGGTTCCCAAGTTTCACAACGGCGGAGAAAATGCACTCCTGGAGATCTGAATAGTCGTCTAAATTGCTGCCCGCCAATGCTGCGCGGGCTGCCCATTCGACGGAACAGGCCTTACGTCGACCCACTCAAACCGGGCTCACGAATTAACGAGGTATCTCCCAGGGGAGCACGTGGAATCACAAAGCTCGTGATTTTATACCCCCGTGCCCACGACTGACTAGGTACTGATCCTAGCCAGTAGCTTCACAGGGTTTCCTGCTTCGATCCTCGGGGTAAACAAGGCAGGTAAGTATATAACTAAGTATTAACGGAATAATAATTCGAATTCTAATTCTTTAATTAACCCTAGTTAATTAATGAAATTAATAAATTTTGAATGTTATTTAGATTAACTAATGTTGAAAATTTGTATTTTTTAATCATCAAAACCGATTGCTCTTCTGCCACTGTTGCCTTGTAGCTGTATTTACGTGTTTTTATCTCCTGAAATGTTTCCTCTGTGTAAACATGTAATTTGAATTTATCATATTCGCCATGTTTGAATTTAACAAATATTGCTAAATTCTTAGCTTCAGACCTGCTTTAGAACAAATCGTTACCCAGTATTCATTGCTTAGATGGAGACAGCTATCTCAGCTGTGCAATTAAACTGATTTTCAAATACCGAATTCTTTCGCATTTGCGTCGAAGTTTGAGCTTTGATGGAACTATACTTAAATTCAGAAAACAAATTTACTAAAAGATACATATGAGATTCTCTTTCCGCTTGACATCTTTCGCTAGCTGTTGAAGTTTATGAAGTATATTTGAGATTCCAGTAACATTAGTTATCACTGAAATGACTGGTGTGAAATTTTCTCTGTAAGTGCTGTCTTGTAATTTTGAATTTATTGAAATGCAGTATCTAGTCTGCAGTGAACATTATAGATTTTGGCATTCCCCATATAACTTGGTGATAGTTAGAATTTAATTCTCGCCAAATCCATACGAGAACATATTTCCTATAATTCGTCTTTGACAAGAATCGTTATTTCATACATTGGCCACTACATATGAACACATTGGAGTTCAGATTATACTTTTTGTTCTTCATTAGGTCATTTCATAGCTAATGAAATTTCTCATTACGTAAAATTTAGAAAATTACCAGTAATGAAGTACAGAAATTTCAATAAATAAAGTATGTGTATATATTCATTTGGAAATAATACGAAGACTATGTTTGTTGCTAAGAAATTTTTCTTTATTTTCCCCACGTTTATGCATCGTTCACCCAAATGCATCGTTTAGGATATTAGCAAAAGAAATCTAATTTTTATCCAAGAAATATAATTAGTGTAATATACTGTTTCTTAAATTGTAGTCCGCTGGCTCCTGGGAGTCTGAAATTAAGTAGTCAATGATCCATAAGAGATTTTTCGAACTTAAAGTTTATTTGTTATTTGATTTCATTTAAAAAATATATATAATAAAAGTAACCACAATGCTTAATGATGAGAATTATTTCCCTAATCAAAAGACCCTCGCCTTTTAAGCTTCCGTCACTCTGAAAATTATAATCATGGGAGACAAACAGTCAGACCTTTGTGAAATATTAAATAAATCCACAGTAAGGTCTAAATTATCTGCCAGCAGTCTCAGTGGATTAACTGCCGTAAAGGATATCAGTTAAGTGCGCATCAAATAAAAGAGTCTTCTAACATATAAGCCTCAAGTACTATTGGTTTGATAAGCATGTTTATTTCCTACATTTGTGCTTTGTACTAAAAATGAAGTTAAATTTAACCTTTAAAGGAAGTTTAATTAGGATGCATAAAGTAAATTATGCAAACGCATATTTTACTTCATGCATCCTCGGTTTTAACGCAAAATCGTGTTTCGAAGGTAATAGCCCTTTTGGGCCAAAAAAGCAAACTGATAAAAAATGAAATTTAAGAAAACTACATTACCTGTAAGTTCAATATTCTTATTTGTTATTATTTCCTTTTCTTCGTTTTATTTACTAAATTTAATTAAAATTTTTAAAATGTGTGCAGTTATAATCACATTACTTTTCATGCATTATTTCACTAATTAATTCTTATCCACCAATAGTTCTTAAACTTTTTGTTCGTAGAGACCTTTTATTTCATTATAATTAAGGATATTTTATCTTAAAAAGATATCCTTACATAACAACATATAAATCTTTTAATATCTCTTATCATTATCATCCATTTTTAAATTTTATACAGATTACCTTACAGGAATCTTTTAATATAATTTAATAATTTTAATATCTTTTAATAATATTTATCTTTATATCCTTTAATAATTTTAATATTTTAATAATATTTATCTTTATATCCTTTAATAATTTTAATATTTTTAATAATATTTATCTTTATATCCTTTAATAATTTTATATTTTTAATAAATATTTATTTTATATCCTTTAATAATTTAATATTTTAATATTTTATCTTTATATCCTTTAATAATATTTTAATTTTAATATCTTTAATATCGCAGATAAAAATGAAACTTAACACAACTGCTTCCTTCATGCAAGGGACCCAAACTAAAATCCTGAATATTAAATCTGGTTTTCTCTGTACGAATTCTGATGGGAAATCTTAAACAACTTTTAAAATACTTTTTTCAAAAAAGAAAACGGTTCTTTGGTATACAACAGAAAAGGAGAATGAAAATACACTTTGTAGGGAAACAAGAAAGAAAATGTACGTTTTAAGAAATGAAATTCTTAGAAAACTGCTGTTTTCACTATGGACCTAAACAAAAGTTTTTCAATATAATATCTGCTTCTTCTTGTCTTTCAATATAGTATCTGCTTCTTCTTGTGTTTTTTCTGCTCTTTTTTTAAAACAATAGAGAAAACTGTCACTTTTTGACTACCCTTCAGATTTCATCAAAGGTATCCAATTTTTTACATGAAATGAAGTTCTATTAAAAGTTCTAAGTCATAAATAATCTCTAGTTGGGTATCTTTGAAACAAATTTAGATACTTGTTCTGAAATGAGGAAGAACGAGGATTAAATTTTCGTAAAATTCTATTTCATGAAATGTACAAAAAAAAAAGGATTAATAATTAGTATTAGAAGTGCTATGAGTATCGATCCCCACATTTGTGTCCCTATCACTTTGCAAATGAAAGGGTGTTGCCACCAGATGTTATCGCTATATATATTTTAAAAGAAATAGCATAACGAATATTAAAAAATGCAGGAGAACCGTTAACACTCTACCAGAAATTCTAAACATATGCTGCTTTAACAATATTTTGTGACTTTACTTTTGAATTTTAAGTAAAGTAAGTGCTAGAAGAGCGATGTTTAATAATAAATTTTAAAAGACAAAAAAAAAGTTGTATTCGTAGAAGGGAGTCCGAGAGCAGGTTGATAAACTGCAAGCTCAGAGAAAGCATAAAAAGTCTTAACAAAACCCTCTGATGCGACATTAAAACCTGAATTCGATAAAATATATGTAAATTATTGTAAGTTTTTCCAGTTTAAATAAGAAGATCGTTTTAAACTTATTATCATTTTCTCTCGCTTTAGCTCAGCCCTGCGCAAGTACTATATAAAAATTCGGTAAATGTTTAAAACGATACAATGAGTTATAGACTCATTAGGATTTTTTTATGCTGAGACACCTGAAAAATTAGCAATGCCCTCGCCAGGACTCTTATTTTTTTTTAAACTAATTTACATTTTGATGAAATTTGATGAAGTTAAAAAGCTAAACTGAAAAGATAATTAAAATTCAGCCTTACATTATAATGTGATGGGATGGGATGGGCGCAGCCCGACTCTCCTGGCAGACTTTACGTTGCCCAATGGTCCTTTTACGAGCTTACGTCAGAGCAAGCCAAAAACAATAAGAGCCAACAACTCCAACGAAACAAAACACAAGTTAGAAAACATAACAAAACATAAACTACAATCTGAAGATACTAATACATAGATCTCTGGCTTTTTTATATTTCCAACACTGACAAAAGCTAGGGGAGACAAAAAAGCGATAGAAACTAAACTAGAATAATATAAAAATACTCAAAACCACTAACATAAATCCGCACTCACATGTAAACTAACATACTATGCCTATTTTCTCTATATTAGGACCTATTCTTGCCATAATTTTCCCTGCAATTTTCACTGCTTTACTATTGTAATTCAATGTTTTGAAGTCTTTGTCTGCTACTTCTATATCTCCAGTGGTTGCATAATCTTCTACACATTTTTCAGGAAGATTGGATGTAGACATTATTGAGAACTATATCATTACTAGTTGCGCTTTTAAAATTCTAAATGTGAATTTAATTCTTCCTAAGAATCGAATCTCATTAGAACACTCTAAGACTGAGATAAAGTGATTGAGCTTAATATTTACTTTGAAGTGTCCGAAATTGCAAAGAAATTAAGAGATGCTTTTGTTGCTTATTATTATTGAAATAGACAACGAAAAATTTAAATTGGAAAGGTTTAAATTCTTTTTTAACTTCTTGCAAAGGCTCTGCAGCGGATACAAAAAAAGGTAACTTTTAATTAGAAAATTTCTATATATCCTGATTGTCTCTCGGTTTGCAAGCCCTCTCCAACCCTGAGCAGCCGAATGTTTTGATTCAAACA